TAAACGGTTCCATCATAACAAACCTGTACGGCAAAGCATACTGAAATATTCCAAATAGGAATACTCACGTCACTCACTTTTTAGAAACGTCTCTTTTGGAGTAGTTCTCTCGTCATCGCCATTCACAAGAAGTGCGTACCTCAACCCTCTTGCAGGCAATGTCAAATCAACCACCAGCAGAAATGCAGTGTGAATGAAACAACCGGAAATCCAAAGATCTAACAGCGTTGCTGAAAGGTACGGTCGCGAACTGACAAGCTGAAAAAATGTCACTGGAAGTGGACAGGAAAACTGAAGGAACTTTTTCACAGACACATGATGAGAACGTGGGAGATCTACGCATTTAACTCACCAGAATAAGCATGCACATAATTGCTGCCAACGAAACGAGTACCTGAGATATGTTTCTTGGGGAATTTCTTGGACGAAAGGCTCCTATGAACGTACCTGCACCTTCCGACGTTTCCACTGTGCAAAAAACACCAATGCAACAATCAAGAATGATGGTAGAAACACAGAAAGCAAAGCAAAATCCCAGTCGGCCGAATAGCTCAGCAGAAGAGCGGACTGTGGAAATGTTGCTGTAAAAGTTTCTTCATTTCGCAATGGGACAGAAAGCCACCTCTCAAAGCTCACCAAGAGCTGTCCCGACTCTTACTGTTTGTGACTCTGGGCGAAGATCTCGTACTGTTGAAACCAAAATCAGCTCGTCTGAATGAAGACCCAACATTTTTTTTTTGAAGAGACCCATAGAACAGGACAAACCTCCAGCATTCTCAATTGGAAGCTCACAAATAAAAGACTCGAAAGGGTACTTCCATTCGCTAGAGAAACACGCAACAGTGTCCTTCACCCTAGAATAAGAGTCAGAAATTTTAAACCGGTATTGAAGCTTTTATAATGCCCCATTGAGGTCGTCGTTTAACCAGACAATTCCCAATACGATATCTTGGGAACCACAGCTTTATTCAAGGAGAAATCGCAGAAAGTAATCAAATTGTGAACTGTGCCGTCAAATTCACACGGACGTTGGTGGAATCTGATAAGACAATCTGTTTCTGTGGTAGAGGTATGAGATTCAGCCTCTTAAAGTACTTCGAATGAACAAACCTCTCCGGGTGAAGTCCTTCACTCAATTATTTTGATCTAAGGAAGTTTCAAGTGTTTTGCTGGAGAAAATGTATAATTGTTAGAATCTTGAATAGCACTATGTTCTGATATGCTTCAGGAGGCTTGCTCATGACATGGTTCGGGCGTAAGAGACGAAAATCTTGTAATCAAAAGCTATTCGGAATATTCAAATCTATAGAGGACAATTGAACCGACTAAAATCGGACCAATGAATGAAAACTGGTTTTCGCCATGAACCCATAAAGCTGGGCTCGCTCATCTGCGCAATCGTTTGGAACTGATTATCTTTTGAACACGTTTTTTGATTCCCGAATAGGAAAATCTACGCGATCAAGATTTGTTAAAAACTTCATTCGGTGTTTACTCACTCCAGTTTAGAGTTTCCTGCACTCCACAACACATGCATTGGCAGGGATAGGCAATGAAACCTTTGGAGTGGGCCGCACTGAATCTTCACGTGAAACCGTTGGTCAGGGTTCAGTCTCGGGAATGAAAATAGGACTTGACCTTTTCGATCTCTTCAAAATATATACATCAAAATTTGAAGGTGTAGTTTGCTATAGACAATGTGATTTGATGTGAGTGATAAAAATTCTTGTCGAACCGTTGGCTTCTTGACGAAACCCCTGTCGGCTGGGTATTATGTATCACGAGGGTTGCACACAGTTGTTGGCAATTCTGAATTAGACACACCTGTGATAAAGAGACAAAATGCCGCTTGCAGGGGATAGCATGACAGCAACAGTATGTGGTGCAGGTATAGTGCGCACTCTTGGCAGCCATGGCTCGAACTCTTTTGGTAATTCGAAGTCGTCGAATAGTTCTCTGAGTATCAGACGATCATCTGTCCAGTGATAGACAATGACCGCATTGACGAGGAGTGATCGCTGAATGATAACTTTGAAGAAATGTGAACCACCCGGTCCCAATAGGATTAAAACAAAACATTTAAAAAGCTTTCCACCAATTGCACTAGTTAGAACTTCGGTCAAGCTCTTCACGCGGTATCTGTCGGAGCGCAGACTGCCCACGCCGTGGAAAACGGCCAAGACCGTGTTGCTGAGTAAAAAGGGACATCCCGACGATATTGGTAAGAATCGCCCAATCTGCCTGCTGTCTGTAATCCACAACCTTTTCATAAGAGCCATCCTCTGCACGACTGGCAGAATATCAGATGAAAGACAACCATACGAGTAAGAAGTGTTTTGAAGAGGGGTTAATACAATCGATCACACCCACAACGTTACAGGATTCATTCTTGCGAAAGAATAGTATGCCGATACGTCTGATGTTCATCCATTCGAAGATTAGTTCATTATCAATACCAGCACAATGATCGCCAATGCCACTTCAAGAACAGCGCTAACATCACGGAGACTAACGTCGGCTCATACCCTCTCGTGAGCTTCCCGTTTTACGGCTTCCCGAATCGATTTTGCATAAACGGAATCTTTGCAGGATAGAGATATCGCAAAGCTATTCGGCGAACTGCAGAACTGATATCATTTGTGTTCAGAATAGAAATAAAAATCTGTTAGCTGCTGAATGCAGTAATCCCATCGTCTTACCCTTTTTATACGAGTTTCAATAAGATGAAACTCGACAACAATCCTGTAGAAGGTACCATTTACATTGGTGACGTAGTTCTCAGGAGCTGTTGGTCGAACAGAACTATAGTAATACTTGAACTTGCGCGATATCTCGTTCCGCTCAGTTAGGGAGAGACTGAAATTGAAAAATTGGCTCTCTTACATTGCGTCAATACAGTAATCCGTTTTCAATGTTGAAGTAAAATCAGCATTATTCTTTGCATTCTTGAAGAAAAATAGGAGTTCCCGAAACAACTAGTCTCAATTGTGAGTAATTAAAAATTTCCTTAAAGGCACTTTGATGTGGTATTTTGGTCCTACATATACATATTGCTGGAATCCTGAATGCGTTCTCCGGCCCATTTCACTACCTTGTCACTGCTGCTACAAGCATCGAAATCCATGTGATCCGCATTGCTCTCCTACATATCGTGAAATCCTGTCTTAGGAGTGACGACGCTTCTCAGACAAGCAAATTATTGCTTTTTCGAGATCTCTTATCTGAATAACCACAGACTAGAAAGTTGTGTTCTGAAAATTTTTACATCAAAAAGACACTGTAATCAATTTGAGGGGGCCAGTTTCACTGATTCGTTGGAGCATTACACGAATCTATTTAGATATTTAGGCATCCAACATAACTCGGGCTTTCCATAAGAACGGCTTAAAAAGTGTTGGGAACTCCTGGAAATCGGCGAGTCAATAATAAGCGGTGAGCCAAGTTCAATACGACAAGCCGAAGAGTCCCCGATCCGACTGGTGAAAGATTAAAAGATTTGAAAACATGGAGGGTTGATGAGACAGAAGTAATGAACCCAGAAGTACCTCGTCTTAGAGGGAAGAGGTTTAATGAAAGGAGCAAAGAATATATGGAAGGAGGGGTTGCAAGGAACTAGCCGAGTAGATAAAGTTGCATTAAGAAAAAGGCCTAAGGGTTAAGCAATCGGACCAAGACCAAGAGCGAAAGGCAAAAGGCATTCTGAAAATAAACACACGAAATATAAATGACCAGTCGCATTGCCCAGCTGTCGCCGGGCATCCTCCTTCTCCTGTAATAGGGACAAACATTGGTACGAACAATCTTGCATTTTCTTTTGATGAACATAAGATGAAACTATTTCATTCTTATAATTGCTAACACTTCTTATGACTAAGGATCTTTGTGACTGGAGTTAATACACTACAAAAATTTTGACCAACGCTAAAGCGTCAGACTTAGTGAGACGGTCGAAAATGCTTCACATCCGCGGAGAGATAAATTTCCTTACCTTACCCTGCCAACGGAAATAGCAGAAGTATAATGGCATCAGGTCCATAATAATCATGCGACGCGTATTTCTTTGAAGATTCCTTTCACATGAAAAGTTATAATTCAGTATGAACCGCGCTCCCAGTCGGTTCATCAAGAACAGCATCCCCCCGGAGGAATATTCAGCGGAGATAAAAAACTCATGTTTGCAAATACCGCTCAGGAACTTCGGTTCAGATTCGGGTTAGATTTACCGAGGTACTCTCTTCAAAAAAGGTTTAATTCTGCGGCGGGCGTCAGTTCCTCACCTCACCATACCACATAGATTAGCCAGAGTCAGGGATGCCTTCAATTCTGTAAGAATTTGATTTCCTTTGGCCGATTGTGCGTTGGTGGGCGTTAGGGATACTCTCGTGAAGCATACCTCTTGAAAATTTCGGATCAACTGAAGAGCTGATAATCCTTTGAACAACTCTACCCAAATGCTCTTTCTGGGAACATCTACAGTCAACACTATCAGTTCTGTAAGAACCACCATTTTCAGTGGGCATTTACCTAAGGGTGTTCCGAAAATCGTACGTTTGATGTACATACCATTCCGAAATTTTCGCTCGAACTCAACAGCCAGATTCACCGATGCAGCCTCTTCATAATCTCAATTCTGCGGAGAGCGTCAGTTTCTCACCCCACCACACCACATAGATTAGCCAGAGCCAGAGCTGCCTTCAATTCTGTAAGAATCTGATTTCCTTTGGCAAGTTGTGCGCTGGTGGTCGTTAGGTAATAGATTCTCTCAAGGCACACTATATACTTCTTCCTGCTCAATGTGGATTCAAATAGGATGAACCCCCTCCCCTTCTTCCGTGGGATGGGTGCTCATTTTGCATTCTTTATTCATGCTGCCTACGGGATCTTCTACATTGCATGGTGTTCAGTTGCTTTTCGCCTTTTTCTCATTCACTTCTTGATTCCTGCGTCTTCTTTTGTGCTTCCTATTCAGAAACTCCCCCTCTAATAGGTGAAGCCTGGTGAACGACCTACGGGCACACTCGCACAGAGCCATTCATTAGCAACGTTTCTGTCTTAATACAACTTATCACTTATTTTAATTTTTTTTTTATTATTTAGAATTACGTTTAGTGTGTTTTGGCTGACCTTACATATCCTATTTACTGCACGTAGAAGGGACTTGACTTTTGAGCACCTGATCCATTTCTTTTCATAGCCTTGGTTTTCGCTCACTCATAGGACATCTTTGTAAAGTATATTTCGAACCTTCTGCCGAGGCGACAGTACTTTGATTGAACTCGGGCTGCGAACTCTTGATAGTGCAACATAAAGTTAGCCATGAGAAAAAACGTCATCAGCAAGATATACTCCGACTCTCGATAACGTCTGTCCTTGAGCCTTGTTGATGGTAGTTGCAAAGGCAAGACGAACAGGGAATTGACGTCTTCGAAGACGGAAAGGAAGACCATTGTCGGCGTAGTTGTCAATTTTGGGAAGCAGAATGCATTGATTTTTCCTACTTCCTGTCGCAAAGCGACATCCGAGAACAAATCGGCCGCACTGATCAACTATCAGTCTCGTTCCGTTGCAGAGACCCTTGGCTACGTCGAGATTGCGCAACAACATCACAATGCACCCTTGTTTTAATCTCAGCTCATGCGGAGGCATTCCACTGGGGCTCAATTGATTAAGAAATTCGAGCGGATAGTTGAGTACATCTTCTGAATCACAGTTCTATGCTTCGTCCACAATTTCGTATGTTTTCATTTCCAAGTGTTCAGGCATTCGCTGAAGGCAGAGATCGTTCATGTGGGCCACATGATTATTTTTAGGCGCAAGAATCGCTTTCTCCGCGAGACTTTCTACGTCATCATCTCCTACTCTTTCTCCAAAAATTTCTGTGATCAAGTTTCCGTCACCCTTGAGTCCGTCGGGCAGTTGAATCAAACCATTCTCGTCTTCCGGACATGTTCCATTGCCGATCTTCAGAGGTATTTCCGCCCACTCTCTATCAGACGAAGATGTCCGCATGTTGGTTGAAAGGTGAAAAGTTACAAAGAGCTCCACAAAAAAGAGTTCTTGATACAGGCGCCTTCCAGGTCTTATTTTCGTCCTCTTTCTACAACTTGAAGAACCTGCCTGAAATCTCCTCCTACATCATCAGTTTTCCTCTAAACGGCAGATTATTCTGCATGATATCTCTTAACAGGAGGTCCACAGCTTCAAGAGTCCACTTCGGCACCATGGATATCTCATCCTAAAATATGACGGACACGTTACGGAGAATATTGGCTTCTGCTAACTGCCTTTTCATAGTGCATGTTCTGTTGTTGTCATGAATATTGAGCTTGAAAGCGCTGCTCGCCGTTCTTCCATTAGGCAGCAGGTTGGCAGCGATTTCTGTCCAGGCCACACAAATCACATTCTTCCTCATCCCAAGCAGTGTGTGGTACAATGCGGTGTAAAGCAACGTTTTTCCACTGCCGCCAGGACCATCAATGAAAAAGTGTTGATGATTACCATCGTCTATGGTTGACGAAATGGAATCAGCGGCTGCCTTCTGATGCACGTTTAGCTGGACCATCAAATGACTTCCGCAGGAAATGTGTTCGTCTTCCGTGAACTCTTCCTCATTGAGCTGATCAGACATTTCATGAGAAGAGGGACTGATTATGCTCATCAAATTTGCACCGCAAACGATCATCTTGTCCATGATATCGTAGTACGCCCGCACAACACCTTCTTCTTCGCCTAATCCTCTATGAATGTAGTCTTCTGCCAATGCTCTCTTGAATTTTTCCCAAAGCTGCTCTGGCTCACTAACAGAGCAGAAACAAAGAAGGCTACTAAAGAGGGAACGAAATTGACCTGGCATGTGGAATTCCGATGCTTCGCTCAAGCAGCTTTCGTAGTGAGAATCATCATTCATCAATCCTAGGGCCTTGGCTGCTTCTTTAAAAAAGACATGAACAACTCCGTCAACTGTCCCCAGATCGCTGAACGATTTTGGTCCTCTCCTGTCCAAAAGTAGTGTTCGGAGGCTGTATCGTTCTACATCTAAAGGATCCGCCGTATACATTCTTCCAATTGGACGACTCTTTCTTTGCCTCATCTTCCACTTCCGTGCCTGCTGGTCAAATGAGAAGAATTCTGGCACTTGCACGTAAAGTAATGTGCGGACATCCTTTTCTAACTCAGGCACGTCACCTTCACCGTATAACGGTTCATGTTCTTCGTTCAATTTCGAAAAGGCCGTGAGCATTGTCTCTTTGTCGGCTGCTTGACGAACTGAATCCTCTTCCCTGCCTCCTTGGAATGTCACATTCTGGTAGCCTGACAGATGAACCTGCAATCTATAGACGGTGTGTGACTTCGATTAGAGATCAAACCCAAGGAGTCTATGTACAGCTTCCGGAGCACACACGTATCTGGCGTTCACGAATTCGTCAATCTCGTCAACCACTCTGCTATCGAAACCGTTCTCGTTCCATATCATGTGGAGTGTTGCTCGGTCAGGTCCTTTGTAAACGTACTTGTACATATATTTAACAGCTTGAATCATCCCACAGATTTCTACATTCAAGTGGCCATTATAGCGAAGGGCTAAATATGTGTTGTACGGCACTACCGATCTGTTATCGAGGATCTTTCCTGCCGATACACATGTTCGACCGTCATTTGGTCTGCGATACATCGGATAACTGTCGAAGTCTGCACTTGTTTCATCTCTGAACTCCTTTGGGAACCTTTTAGAGTATTTCCCATCAACCATACACGGCGACCGCGAATTATCCGCTCCACACGATCTGTGCATCATGCAGGTAGTCACAATACTGAAAAGGCGAGGCTCTGCTCCTTGGTCAGGTATGGTGGCTTGAACAATAGAGTTCATCTCAGTGATACTTCTCGGTTTGTCCTGTTCTGCTAAACTGACCAATATGTGGCAATGCGGGAGTCCTCGTTTCTGCCATTCCATTACAGATACTACGCATTTACAGCTCTAAAAATCTGCCGCTTGAACAAATCGTTATAGAGCTCCTGCAACTTGCTGTTGAAATTTCTGGCGACAATATCAGGTCTATCGGAAGCCGTCTGCCCATTGTGCAATTGCTCAACAATTTCTCTCCATGCAGGATTGCATGTGAACGTGATGAAGAGGTCCGGTTTCCCGTACTTGGACACAATGGCCATAGCATCTTGATAATTTTGTACCATTGCACGGGGTGATACTGGGAACGAAGAAGGCAGTATAACATGCCGAACACCTGGTGGACCTGAAATATTGTTGTCACCTGCCACGTAGTCAGAGAGGCCTTTATAGCTATCGACTCTGAGTTCAGTTTGATGAGTGCGATCGTAGTTCAGTCGATTCTGCTCTATCTTAACGTAGCTGTCCACCAAAAATGCTGGTAGAGTTTTCCAGCAAAGTGGAGAGGATTAAATTCATCCCTGACAGCTATCCTGTTGGAGTAGTACTCCTTCTAGGTTAGTCTGGCACGACGTCTTTCCGATGGGCTCTTCACCATATTTGGATGCCATCCCAGTTCTCCATGCGGAAAAAGGACTGGGTAGGTCAAAGGATCGCATTAAGGGTCAATTACTCGGATGGATCGTAGCCCTCCTCCTCTTAGGTGCACTGCAAGGTTATGCTACATCTCCATCGTCTCCAACATAAATCACAGCAACTTCATTGGCAATAGGTGCATTATATCGACGTCTATCCTCATTTGAAGGCGTTTCAAGCACCATTCTCACAGGTTCCGCTGATCTTCCTTCTCTGGCAGCACGAAAGTCTTCTTCTAAAGCCACCTCGTTCAGCATTCTGTATGCCTGGGCAAAGGCATTAGTTTGATGTAGAAGTGCACTCAGTGAATGGATGAGCCGTGGGTTACAGTTTGTGTTTGCTGGATTTCCCATCCTTTCTTCTGCCGCCATACAGGTGTCTAGATATACACTTGGCCGTAACGGTGTGGCTGACCACTTTCTGGGCGCGCAGGTCCTATTCTATGGTAAATCTGACCGTGTATTCGGAAACAGTAAGGGCCATGTCCGGGTGGTGTATCCAATTGTGCGCCCATGGAAGCGAATGCGAAGGCGCTGTTGTAGCTGCGAATATGTTCGCGAAATTCCTTCGCTTCAGCGTCTTGACATGTGAGCAGTCGGCGGAGTTCCTCAGGGTAGTTAGTGAAGTGCAGTATACTGATGGTGCCATGATTGCAGCAGCCATTGAGTGTCTCTTACCCTTGGACTCAAATTTGAAATGCTTTGCTCCACAGCTTCCACATGCGACGTTCATCGGTCCATCGTAGTGCTTATCCGGCTGCAAATTGGTCCTCGCTAATCTTCTTGTTTGAGCTGAGATGGTTCTTCCACGACTGCGAAATCGCTCAGCTTCTAAATTTCGCCTTTGCTGAACCTCTGCTGATGTCATCCGGCTTCTCCGAATACGCTCCCTTTGTGCTGTAGTGACATTGCGCTGTTGTCGCGTCTCCTCATCCTCTTCTTCTCTGCGCAATCTTGCCCTCATAGCATCTTCTGCTCTGCGTAATTCTCGTGTTTGCTCATCTTCTTGCTGCCTTCGAGTCCTGGATCTTTCTCCTTCCTGTGCCAGNCTGGCACAGGAAGGAGAAAGATCCAGGACTCGAAGGCAGCAAGAAGATGAGCAAACACGAGAATTACGCAGAGCAGAAGATGCTATGATTTATGATTCTATCTCTGAACGTCTTCTACACGTGCTCTCTCCGCTTCCTCTGCTAACCTTCTTTCCCTTTGCTCATCATTCTCCGCTTCTCTTCTCGCTCGAGCTCTTTCAGCATTGTCTTCCGAACGCATTTCTCTCTGCTCGTCATCTTCCAGCTGCCTTCTTATTCGGGCTCTCTCGGACTTCTGTGCTAACCGCCTTTCTCTTTGCTCATTACTCTCCGCTTCTCTTCTTGCTCGAGCTCTTTCAGCATTGTCTTCCAAACGTGTAATCCTCTGCTCATCATCTTCCATTTGCCTTCTGATTTGAGCTCTTTCCACATCCTCTGCTAATCGTCTTTCTCTTCGCTCGTCACTCTCCGCTTCCCTTCTTGCTCGAGTTCCTTTAGCATGTCTTCCAAACGCATAGTCCTCTGCTCATCATCTTCCATTTGCCTTCTGATTTGAGCTCTTTCCGCATCCTCTGCTAATCGTCTTTCTCTTTGCTCGTCACTCTCCGCTTCTCTTCTTGCTCGAGTTCCTTTAGCATTGTCTTCCAAACGCATAGTCCTCTGCTCATCATCTTCCATTTGTCTCCTGATTCGAGCCCTCTCGGCATCTTGCGCGAGGCGCGTGTTTCCATGAGAGTCCCTTTCTTGCTGCTTTCTAGCTCTCGCTCTTTCAGCATTTTGCCGTTGTCGTAACTCCCGTTGCTCCTGCGACTCTTGCGCACGCCTTATCCTTCTCTGCTCAGCCTCTCGTTGAAGTTTTGCATGACGCTCTTCCGCAGTTTCAGTTTCTCTCCTTGACCTTTTCCGGGCTGCTTCCCTTTCTCGACGACTCAAAGATTCATCATCTGATCTAGATTCAGGTTGTGCTGTGCTTTTCTCCTAGAAATCAATCCGAAGAATTGAACACTCATTTTCAAAGAAATTAGTATTCACATGATTGAAGACGTAATTTCACCTTCCAGGAAAATGACGCAGTGAGAACCAATTCATTCGTCGGATACACGATTGTAAAGCGAACTGTACGATTCAGCTTATTTCTGTCCCTAACTCCTTTAGTTTGACGCCAAGCAGCCCTTTATACGTCACGAATAGTCAGATAAATGAAGAAAGAAAAGGGTGTGCGAACGGAGCTATCTTCACATCTATCACTTATCCTTACCCTATATCCCTATCCCATATACTTCCTTCTTATTATCCCCACCTTTCCAATCAGGCCCAAATTTAGCAAGTAATGGTAAGAGGAGAAGATTAATCACCGATTGATTTCAGCAACATGAGAAAAGAACATAATTTATTTCTTAATCCTTGCTAAGAGATTATCAAAATGTGCATGAATGGTATCGCGTCTTCGTTTCATTCAGATGTCGATTGCAACAAAACTAATTCAACCACCAAAATATGGGAATCAGCAGGATGGGTCATGGTCTTGTGATAATGGTGTTAACAACACTCGAGAAGAATAATAAAAAACATTCAAAATTTCTTTCAAGTTTTGTTGGTCAGTTAATGAGTCATAGATAAGGCGCTGTGAAGCTAACGAAGAATAGAGGGTAACCATCAACGGTGTTAAGTTCTCGAAATCCTCAGTTACTTCTCTTTAGAGGAATGCTGGAGAGGGAAAGGGCAGTACGCAATGGAACTCAATATATTGTGTCACTTACGCTGCGATGAATAAATAAAAAAAAATTAAGGGTCAGCCGATCGCTTCCACTTTGCCTTAGGAGTGAGAGAATTCATACTGCGGGTTATTCAGACTTTACTTATTAGACTGAAATACTGAAATGAGAAGGGCGGAGAATGAAGGAAGAAAAATGAAAAAATGAATGAGGTAGCCTTGTACTTTGTCAGTAAGAAGTCCCAGGGTCGCAGTACTGGCTTCATTATGTACTGACCTACATTTCGCAGAACTGACTCCATTCCATCAACCCACCCATCCATTTACCGCTTTACATGTAAAGAAGGAAATGTGAGAGTTTCATTAAGAGAATGGGTTTTCCATATCACTACCTTTATCATAATCATAAACGTTTGCGGACGGACACACCGACATACCGATATACCGACATACCGACAAACCGACACACCAAGTTTCTGCTTTATAAATGAGAGAGATAGGTGAGTAAGTTAAATATAGAAAGATGTGCTGCGAGTTTAAAAATGGCGAAGTTAAGGTGGTTGAATAAAGAGATAGAAAGAGGAATACAGAACGCTCGCAACGCGAAAAGCAAAAATATTAGGGTGACCGGAAGATATCGGGGGAAAGTTTTGGCTCTCAATTTCGAAAGCATGTTGGTGGAGAACGCGCTGGAGAAGGACCATAGATCCGATAGCAGGGTCAAGATCATTGTTGATAGATCAGTACAGTAGCTGATCGGTATTTGACGTGGCCATTTTAAGTAAGTAATCGTAGATCGAAAGATGTGCCATCGATAAGGATACCGGAGCCTCCTACTTCACCGTTACGAAACTGATCGCCTTGATGCTCAGGACTGGAATTAGATGTAGTAACTTATTAGCAGCCGTGACTCTCTCTTGCCACCCACAATAGATGGCACGATCTCTTCTCTGAGAAGAGGTTTGCTTCGACGAAATACGTCGACGTGAACGTCCATTGTTCTCAAATACCGACACTGTTCTGGCCTGCAGTCAGAGCAATCCTCCTTACAGTCTCAGGAGACGGAAAAGACGATCTCTACTCCCCAACCCATCATCCTCGACGTTCTACGCACAAAACGTTTCCAAAGGAGGACTCTTTTTAAATATAGCACATCCCTGACTGAGCATGAGTGTCGAGTGCGTGCCAGAAGCTCATCTACTGTAAGGGAACGACGACATCAACCTATTTCATCGTTGCTCAGGATAAAATGAATGCCATATGAAAATCCACCTAAGAATTGCAATGCCTAACAGGACGTAAGGCCACAGCCCACAACAAAGCGAAGACACCAAGAAATCCATGAGCTCACTTTTCCTTTTCTCAACCGGGTGTTTTACTAGGAGATCCCACATGCATAGCCTATTATCGACCGAGAGAAACGGTGTTTCGAGCTCCCATTTTGCACCGATTACAAGAAAATTTTTGATTGTGATGGATAATGCTCGACCACCCGCGTGAGGACGATGATGGATGAGCTGGAAAGACTTGGCATAACCTGGGTAACCCGATCCCCGTTGCTGGGAACTTATCCCTTAACACGGCGTCGCACACGCCGCACCCGCCGCGTATCGCAGGATTGGGATGGAAGATTGGAGCGCGCAATTTGTTAGGTAGGGAGTCCTTTAATTATTTGAATTGGCTGCCCGCTCTTTTCAATTCCAATGTGGTCTTGATCGTCGTTTACATAGGAGGGGTCATTTTAATTGATCAAGCCTAATAAACATGAAAACGAAAAATAAACAGAAGAAAAAACGATCAAATCCAGTAAAAAAGCAAGGCAGTCAATGAAAAATATCGTGTCCTATCGATTGGTGGAGAGGCAGGGTGAGTACGGTAATTGCAGCGACATTTGCCGCATTCCGCAAGGGAGAATGCCGCGATCGGGGAGAAGTTCCGTTAACCCGCGATCCCCACATATCCATCTGACCTTAACCCATATGACTGCCATGGAATCAGAAGCCCATAGGCCTGCTCTACAGGGGAGGAATTCACCAACTGTGGAGAAGTCAAGGAGGTGGTAGAAATATGAATTGCGCCACGGCTGTCTCTATGTTGGCGGAATGACATCAATGACCACCTCCATAACTTCGTTCAGAGAATAGTTTGGCAGTTTTTGAATGCAGATTCGAAATCAGCATCAAAAAATATGTCTAGCACAGTAGGTCTCATATCAAATGGCCACTTCGACCTGGGGACCTTCCCTTGTAAGTTTACTGCTGAGTTATTTTGTATTAAAAGTTGATAAAATCCTCTCAAAACTTTCCGTACACGCTAATAGTTCATTATTTGGCTGAAGGGGCACTGACAGCCGGTAGAAAAAGAGATGATAAAGCAACGGTTCGGAGTTTTTCCAACAGTTTACGCTCTGCACAAACTCAAATTCTGCTTAGGTCACCTGAAGCTCCCATAGATTCGAGATTCGAGTTCTATATTGCACAATGAGGAAAGCATGATCACCAGGGGATTGGGTCTGCAGATTTTGTAGAAGGCGAACAAGGTTTTCGAAGAATCTGTATACACCCCCGTAGCGAAACTGCAGAAAAGCTTGAAGCAGAGCTCAAAAGAACTCAATTGCCTCTCCCCTTTTCCTCCGCTTCCCTTGTCAGAGCCCTTACTTTCAACAGTCGGTGCCCTCTCACAGGGATGGCTTGAAATGGAAAGGCAGAATCACCTCAAAAGAATAGTTTCAAATGCGTTGTTGGACGTCATATGTACATCCCCGTCTCCCTTCGTGCGCGCATCAACAGTTGGCACTTCATTTACATCTATGATTTAAATCGTGCGCCTGTCGAAGGTGGTCGCCCTCAATTCGACGCAAGTATTATACTAGACTGAGATAACATCAAAATAGTAATATTGAAAATACACTTATGCGCGTGATCTACCAGTTGCTGGGCATGTGGATCGACCTATATCAGTGAGACAAGACGACGACTAGCTATACGGGTAAGAGAACATCTAGCTAGCAGCTAGTATGGTGCGCGGGAACCTTTTGACAGCGCTCGGTCGACATAAATTTGAGTAGCACAACGGCGAAAATTATGAAGTGCACGGTACTAGGGCAGGAGACGGAAATTGCAGCAAGAAAGGCATTAGAGGCGCTCTGGATTCTGCAAAGGAATCTCAAGATGAACAACAGGGATGAGTGTCCATCAATAACTAGTGACCTCTTGCCATACCTACCGCTCTGCAAGCTATGAATCATGGTCAGTAGCATTGTAATACGATTTCCCTTACAAGTATGAGAGAGGCATCAATAAGTCTCATTCGCTACTGACAGTCGCCTGTGGCGACAACGGATTCTATCCGCTTTGACGGTGGAGCCTGGTGAGTTTCTGATGAATTTCTGTAGTTTTTTGTTAGAGAGTCAAACACTATCGGATATTGCAAAACATCTCGAATTGCGTTTAGGCCTCTGAAGACGACGATTTTGTCGAAACGTTAGGGCGTTAAGTTAATAAAGTGTTCCACCTAAAAACCTCGCACGGCAGAATAATTCTAACAACGTAAATTAAAGATACTATTAATAATCAGTGATCAACATTAGTTCGTTATCCTCCAAGAACAGATTTTATGAGCTTCAATCAGGTACCAACGTACGCTGTACCAATGAGAGAAACATGGGCGCGTGGATCGACATCAACTCTTATTGTTGAGCCCAACACACATCCAGTCTCTCCCTTTGCTTTACATGACTGCGCCTTCGAATGAACATGCATCTATCGACTTCCACAAGTCCTAGTCCATGAACATTAAAAGGCACCAACATTAAAGGTCGAAGAGGCAGAGGCCGGGTAGAGGACATTCGCAAATTTTTCTTTACATCAAAGTAGAAAGTGAGAGCAAAGGTGCTGGTTTGGCGCTGGAGCAAGGGTCCGAATGGAAGGACCTGTCCAAAGCGTAAAATGAGACCATGGGTTCA